TTTATTAAATTAGAAAACAATTATTTTAAATAGTAATAACATCTTACAATATTACTGTATTTACTGTAATTTTGATTAAATAAAAGCAGCCTTGGTGAATATAAGAGACTTCTTTAAAAGCATTTAAAAATCTTACCGACCCCAAACCTCTGAACAGCAGAGCACCGTCATCGGGTGAAGAACTGACACATATGTAGTTAACACACTGATCTGGTGTAGAAAACTAAAATAAACATCACACAACAAGACAAACTAATTCAGTCCAGTAGTTTATTCTGAATATTTTACTATGTGTGCAGCTAAAACTGCATGTCCTTGGATGGATTTTATGATGAGATGTTCAGACTTATCAGATCTTTTTGTCCAAATTATATCTGGATGACAGCTGTACTGTGAGCTTGCCATGGCCAACTCTTACGCTGTGTGCCCTGCCTGTGCATCATATCCTGTGGTGCTGTTCTTTTCTGTTAGTGTGTGCCAAACTCTACTAGCTCAGCATCTTCTCGGCCTTCTGCCTGACAACAGAGACTCACTCACACACACACTCACACTCACACACACTGCTGAGCAGTGTATTGATGAGTTTCGTCCATCTGGACCTCATGCACATCAAGCTTCAAACAGGTCAGAGGAGGGGGACACAGTGGTCTCTAGACAATGTTTACACATCTTAAAAGTTGACAGGAAGAAGTTCATGAATTTCTAATATGACAGTTATGATCAGAGGAAGAAAATAAATCACAATTGAGATCTCATTAATAGCAATAATTGTTTTTCCTAGACAGCAATGGAATAAATGGAGACTTTTGGTTAAGTATCTTGCTTCCCAGCAACTCTTTTTTTTTCTTCTTCAAAATTAACTCAAGCATTTCTCATCTGGTAATTTGGTCTTTGAAGTATGCTATCCACATTATTTATATTGCTTTCTGTTGTTACCATACTGTATTACATTGTCTCATTTCTGTGTATTTTTATTCATTCCAAGAAATATTAGAAGAACATCTAGGAAACACTTGATATTTTCCATCAATGAGAGCACCATTAAGTCACATGAGCTATAAAAAGAGCAATATCTTTGTAATATCAGTATCCTTATAGTGGTTGTGTTAAATGGAAAAACATCTCTATCTCTAAATATCCCTAACTCACCCTGTCACCAGAAAACAGCATCAGTGATTATTTTCCCTTTAAATGTGTGTGTGTGTGTGTGTGTGTGTGTGTGTGTGTGTGTGTGTGTGTGTGTGTGCGTGTGGGGGGGGCGCTGGATATTTGTGGCGGTCAATGTGGATGTTGTGGATGAGTTCTTCTGTCATCACGTTCTATTAGTTCTACAGCTTCAGTTTCGGAACTTTCACGCTTAGTAACACATACAGCTGTTCCCTCACCACAGTGCAAGAGTGAAAACGGACCCCTTTCAAACAGTGTCTCGTTCCGAACGTTGTTTAAGCGACATACACCCGTATTGCGGTATTTTAAAAATTCATATCATAACAAAAATAAACACCGGTATTCGGTATGAACCAGTATACCGCCCAGCACTAGTAAGTAGGTTATAAATTAATATAAAATTAACAAATTAATAAGATCGATCGATAGATAGATAGATAGATAGATTTGTTTATTCAAGGATGAATTATAATTACAATGTTACAAGACATTTCAAATAAATGAAAAATGTATCACAGTTTCCACAAAAACATTAAGCAGCAAGCATAAATGTTTTCAACATTTATAATAAGAAAAACTTCATGAGAAGCAAATTAACAGAATGATTTCTGAAGGATCATGTGACACTGAAGACTGGAGTAATTGCATGCTAGTTGATTTAGGAGAATAAGAAAGATGCAGAGAGAGGGATGAAGGGAGAAACACGGCCTGCGGACAATGTTTTTTTTTGTGTGGGGGAAGAAAGAAAGCAAGAGAGCAAAAGATCAGCTGATTAAACAATGTTTGCAAACTATTAAAGGAATAGGTCAACCAATTTTTGCATCAACCATCTCTAAAAAGTCACAATAAAACGGAAGTAGCCGCAGATATTTCTTCTGTATTTTGATGTATATCTCGGTGTAACAGATGATCAAAAAAAAAAAAGAAAAAATGTGGGGTTGGTACTTGATTCTATCCACTGGTTGTTTATTGGATTTTGAGATGTGGTCATAACACTCCAGAAAATAAGGCAGATAAACGTGAGCTTGCAGGGGTGGGTTTAAGAGTACTAAATGATTGAAGAAGTCCAGCATACGTAACCAGAGAGAGGTCTGTTATATCTTCAGAAGGTCCAGTTATGACATTTTGATTGAACATTAGAAGGTCAATTTAAAAAGAAAAATGTAAACACATACTGTACATGGGAGTATATGGATATACATGGATGTTCACAATAATATCTATAACATGTAAAATAGATAGATTTTCATTTCATGCCAACTTTAAAGGGGTCATATGATCTTGCTAAAAAAGAACATTATTTTGTGTATTTGGTGTAATGAAATGTGTTTATGCGGTTTAAG